ACAAAAACAAAAAAATCTAGAAAATCAAAACAAAGTAAAACCTCTGGACAAGTTGACACGGACAAGTTTAAAGTGGAAAAGAGATAAGAAGTCAAGTGTTTTTTTGTTTTGTTTTTTACTATAATAGTGCTTTTCTTCAATGTATCATTTCTATATTAATGGAATCATGTGAAGTTGCAACATAAAATAATAAAATATGAACATGTAATGAGAATTTCACACCAGTAATGAAGTAATAAGGATGTTTGGGCACAGGAACCACTCAAAGGCTGGACAAAATGATATGAGTCGTACAAAGAAATGTTCACAAAAACTGTAGAAGAATTCGCAGGGACCAGCACCAAAGACAAAACTCAAGATTTAACATAATCTACTCATCTCTTACTTGAATGTGGGGGAAATTCTTTTGTCTAAGCACACTAGTTGGGATGCTAATAATTATAGAAGATGTTATTAAATGTACCAAGAGCCTAACTAGGAACACATCCTATTCTTGTAGTAGTGCCTTTAGATTGAGTAGAAAAAGATCTCTGATTTGAGTTCTATCCTGAGGAGCAGAGCTTGCCCCAGAATCTGAAATATTATTTAACACAGAATTTTTTAATATTGTTTTGTTTACCAAGTTATAATTGCCAAAGACAGATAAAATATATTTTATTTAACGGTTTGTTATTTTTGGCTGTATTCTGATATTTGTATATAGGTTATGTGGGCTGAAATTGTTTCAAATCTCAGTTGTTCTTAGTTCTTTTGCATTTGAAAAACTGACAGGTTTATATTAGAATAATGTTGAGAACATAAATAAGTAATTACTTATACAGATAACTATTGTAAGTGGAGTCATCAGAAATCAGGAAAACAAAGCATAATTTGCTTCAAACTAGGGGTTGCATTATATGTATTTGGTCTAGGACTAAAATATTTGAGGTTATTACTATATGCACCTAAGTAAAAAACTGTGAATAAAAGAAATAACATGACTATTGTGTCAAACCTCACAGAATGCACAGTACACAGAAGTGTTTTTGTGTGTGGGTCTATGTGTATGTATGTAGAGAAGCCTTAAAAAAAGACAGAGGTTAACTATAAATAGGAAGTTTAAATTTCTATGCTAAAAACATTATTCTTAATGGGATTTGAATTTTACAATTGGTTTTTCTTTACTTTAAACTTGAGAACCAATATTTTTGGACTGAGATTAATTTGGAAAAAAAAAGCCATTCTAGTCTATACAAACAATACATATTCTGGTTTTCAAATTTAGAAATAGAAAGCAATTATTGACAAACTGAATTGGCCTAGGATACTTGACTACTTCTCAAAATGATCCTGAAACCTCTAGACATAATTGGTTTTTCTTGGCATTTTTGGAAGAACTATTTCTACCTTAGTGCTTAATCTTGCTATTAACTTCAAGCACTTTTTGAACTATAAGTTACTCAGACTTGTTTGTACGAGATGAAAGATATTTAGAAATGTAATACAATTAAGCAGTTCTCTTATATATGAATTTTCTTCTTGATAAATGTGACATGTACTAAGATTGTACTTAATAAACAAAGAACGTGAATCATAAAGACCAATACTAGACAAGATGAGTTATTTGAATTTCAGCATAATTAATAAGCTTTCTAAAGTCATTTAATAATTCATTTTTTATGTATCGATTGTCTAAATATATTCAAATAAATTATCCACACACCCAATTAAACATGAAGCAAGCAAACTTATTTTTGGATCTCTGGAGCTTTACTACTTACATATCTAAAGCTAGGCTACAGTGTTTCCAGACCATTTAGTCATTCCAGAGTCAAAGCTGGTATTCTTCACAGTTTATTTCATTATGAATTAATTCAATACAGAAATAAAAATAAAAACATAAAAGTCCTGAAATTCATGACAGGAAGCTCTTACGTTCCTTCAATAGAAAATTTAGTAATACTGATCTTCTTTTTAAATGAATGACATAAATAATATAAGTTAACTGAGAAACAGTTTTAAAATAAAACCAGAAAATATAAGTCAACAAAGAGATATGCTACGGTAGAATTCTCTAAAAGGAATGGGGTAATGGAAATGAAGAGGTAATGGAATATAGGAACATAGTAACAAAAACAAAAGTTGAGGATTAGTTTCAGAGTTGAAGGCAGCATTTCCCAAAGAAGGCAAAAAAGGCTAAAACTAATAGGAGCACACTGACAAAACTGTTAAGAGTTGACTGAATTGTCCAGGTTTCGGTAGTGGGAACTTCTTCAAGCTGGCTCCTATTTCCTTCCTGAAACTTCTGCTTCAGAATCTTCTCGAAAGTTACTCATCGCGTTTGAGAGCTCCTCTTCTCACAGCTCATTGCCTCGCTTCTAAGCTTCTAGAACTTCTAGAAGTTCTCCTTTCAGTGCCACAGATCCTTGTCAGACCACTCAAAATTTAATCATCGCTCAGCACTGCTGAGTCTCCTCTGCAAGCTCTTCATTTTCCATTGCACTTACAGTGCTTAAAATTAGTGATCTTGATCGATCTACTCTCTTCCATTAAAATAAAAGTCAAGTGAGACAAGTATATTTTGTGTTTTTCACTGTTTATGACTCTTAGCCTAGTACCTAATGATGAGTGTAAAATATATTCTCAATTAATGTGTATTCTTCAATAAGCTTATTGACTCCCAGATCTGCAACTTTTGTCTACTTCATTAAATCTATTTATTTATATATGGTCATCTACTTTATGAAAATAAAATGGAAAGAGATGAGGTGCAGAAAACAAATCAATCATGCAAAGCTTGGTTTTCTTAGAGTTATTTAACATATATGCTGTCGTCATCACTTATTTACTTACTAGGAAATCATGTCCTGTCAATCTCTCCTTCAAAGTATCATTAAATATGTCATTTTATTTACTTGCTAACTCTCACCACCTTAGTTCTCTGACTCATCATGGTACACCTGGATTGCTGAAATAGTTCTCTTCTGTCAACTGCACACAGATCATTTTCAGCTTCATTCCTTCCTAAACGCGTGTTTAATTTCTCTAAATCACAGCGTTCAAAATGTGACTTCCAAATGCAGAAATTATCAATGAGGTTCTTGTAAATTTTCTTCAGATTAACTTTGAAAGCACTAAAGAATGTGATTTTACTTATACTTAATCTTTCACCATTGGCCAGTTCCATACCATTAATTTCAAATCATTCTAGGTGTTTTATTTTAATTTATTTGTTTTCTTCAAAGTATTGGGGATGGGCATGGTGAGAAGGAAATAGTACAATGTATTCCATAAGAGCTAATTAGCATCGAGTTCAACAATTACTTTACAGAGTAGAAAAATCTGAAGCTTCTAAAACTCCTATATGTAGAATTTCACACACACACACACACACACACACACACACACACACACAAACACGCATACAGCTTTCCAGAAATCTTAGCCTCAAAAGAAGGAATAAATTCTTATTTACAGGGAATGTAATCTACTAATTATTAGGAATTAAGAAGAACATATCAAGGAAAGAGAGAAATGTTATTAGGTGCTGTATTGAGTATTCATTGCTGTGTCTGTCTCTTCTATGTATGACAACAGCTGAGGTGTGTTGATTGTTCCCCAAGATCCTTCACCTGGGAGGGGGAGGCAGCTTTCCAATTCTCAGTTGGTTAAAAGTTCTCCCTGTGAAAAATTACTGTCTGAAGCTACTCCTGGGTTACCTGACGCTAATGAAGGGTATTGTGTGTTACAGTAGCATGGAGGTGACTGTGATTCATTCAATGCTGGGTGTTGCAGCATAGATAATAAATGGAAGTAAGATAGTGGAGTACAAGGAACGTCAGAAGCAATCCACAATGGTACCATTTAGACCTACTGTTTCTTCAATTAATTTATATTTGAGGCATCTTAAAAGTAGTAGTTTTGATCTCTCAAAGATTAATGCAAAAAACTTAGTTTTGCTGTTGTATCTAATGACTAATTTATCATTGATATCCACCTTCTTTCTTTATCATGTATTTTGCATTTTCTCCATTAAGGCATCACTGTCACTGGCTAGGTTACTTTTCTTTTGACAAAACCTAGATCTTATTTTCAGTAAGGTCTGAGGACATAATTTATGCTTTTTCTTGTTTGTTTGTTTGGTGTGTTTTTAAGACAGTTTCTCAATATATATAGTTCAAGCTGGAATTGAACTCACTATGTAACCCAGGCTGGCTTTGAACTCATATGGATCCTCCTGCCTCAGCTTCCCTAGAGCTGGGATTAAAGGCATGCACCACCATACCCACCTTCTTGCTTTCTCTTTTGAAGATAAAATTGCTATAATTTACATTCTCTGCTACTTTTGAGCAAGAAAATGCCTTGATCAATTTCCTGAGTTTCAGGTTACTCTTTTCCATATCAATATTTTGAAAGTTTTATGGGAACTGGACCCCGTGATACCACAGACAAAAATTCAGCATTATGAAAACACATCCTTCCAGGATGAGCAGGAATACTACTGTATTTCTTGGTGGAAGTTGCCCAAGCACTACTTTAAATCTTACAGACCAGTTGCAGTGACAATAAAAACACATTTTTCAATTTAGTCATTAGAAGTATTAGATATTACTGGGTTTTGGCACTGTTTTCTTAGTTTGTGGAGTGACAGGATTATATATTGGTGATTGGTTTATCATCATTGAAGAGCTGGAACCCCTGCAGAGATTTACTGTCTTCTGCGGTGTAACATAGATGAGCTATTTAAATGTTATCTGACTATACCACTAGGCTGAGGATTTCTGGAGAAATTATATGCAATAAAACAAGTAAATATGTGGTCATGCATCGACCTAAACACTTTGTAATATTAAAATTATTAAGAAATTAGAGAATCACAGAAAAAGATGGAACATTCTTTAAGTCTTCAGATTGTTGTGTTTTGGGAGACAATGCAGGCAAATGAAACAGACTCATGTTAAATTTTGGTCAAATTTCTGGTCCTTTCAGAAGAGAAGGCATATAACAATTTACATTTTTACCTTCCAGGATGACATACATCAACGGCACAGCACTGATTTCTGTCAATGTCAGTCAAGTCATTTCCTGAAGCCTTTGTCACTGCACCACGTCAACAACTGAGAACACAAATAGATAAGAATAAACACCCCCCCACACACACACAAGCACACAAAACCATACCCCAATTTAGTGCTTATTGAAATTTTGGCAACTATCCTTTAAAAGCTTAATTTTTCTAAGCAAAGCAAACTGCTATATTGTATTGATTTTCTTGGGAAGTATGGACTTCACCAAATAATGACTTTTCAAATGTAAAAACAGGTTAATGTTAATAGGTGAACTACAAAGTAACCGGTTGACCTTGAAATACAAGTCCATTAGAATAATTTAATTCTTATTTAAGTAACTTCCAAGAGCAAACTGCATGGTTCACGTATTGCTTTGGGATCTCTGAAGGAGCAGAATCAACAGAACTTCCAGAGACTGACCTCAGTGGCCCTCTATGTGCTGAAGCGCCAGAAAATCCAACCACTGCTCAGCTTAGGAAGTTGGAAGTCAAGGCAAAGGTGGGATCACAGACAGATGCAGGGTCAGCCCCCTACTGAAGGCCTGAAGTACCCAGGAGCATCCCGAGGAGGAGCCCCAGCTTCAAAGATGAAGAAACTGGAGTCTGCTGCCCACGGCAACGAGGCGCACCTGCTCAAACAGAATGGAGCCGTACAATGCGGGCTTCTTTCTTCCCTTCATTCCGTCCAGACTGCAAGCCCATTGGATGGTTCTAGAAAACTTTAATTGTTTTTTTCATTTTCTATCTTCAATTAGTATATTTTTACATAGTGGTACAGAACAATTGCATTCTTTGTGGAGATTTAGTAAATGCATATAACACATTTCAATTATTATTTTTAGCACTTTTCCCTTACTCCCTTTCTCTCCCTCCATCTCTTGAACCTATACCTATTGAAAAAAATTTTCTCCCTACTTCATGTAGTGCAACAAGTGCATCTTTTATTATTATAAATAAATGTAATTTATATTCTTCTTCTAGTGTACCTTTCATTTTTTTCTTTACACACACACATATATTTCAGTTTCATATATAAGGAAAAACCTGAGATACATAAGCTTGTTTATCTGACTTATTTCACTTCATATTATCCTTTCAAGGTGCCTCCATTTTCCTGCAAATGACTCGTTTATCCTTCCCTAGGGGAGAGTAGTACCCCATTATGTGTAATGACCACATTTCCTATTGGAGCTGATCAGACCCCCAACCACCTGACCAAGGATTACAAAAGACAAGACCAGACCTTAAGGCATATGGAGGGTGGGGCAGGATAGTCAAAGAAAGCTGCTATCAGGCTAAGACACTGTCTCCTGGAGTTTACCAATATTTACTGAGCATTCATTCAGCTTCTAGATACGGTAAGGGGAGGTACAGGGAAAGGTGAAGTGGAGAGCACTGACTTGAGTAGAGTCCGAGCAACAAGGAAACGAAACAGTCTAGTAAGAACAGCTCATAGATTAATGGGAAACATGTTTTTCCCATAGATTAATTTTTGGCTCTACAGGAGTTTTCTGGGTGAGTCACGCTGTCCTTAGCTGCACTATTTTCTGGCCATCGAAGACATCACAGCATTATAGATCATGGAGCCCTCAATGGTGTGGGGAGTTGTTCTATTCCCATAACCAACTGTTGGATTTTCAGGCAAGCTACTGTGGGCTGATAGGCAGACTCAGACTTCTAATGTGCAAAGCCAATTTATGAATTTGTAACTTGCTCACAGTGGTCTCCATCAATTTCCTTTATCCATTCAACTTTTAATGGATATATAGGCCACTTCCAAGATTTAGCTGTTTTGAATTGTGCTTCTATAAACATTGGTATATATGTATCACTATAAAATGATGTTTTTAACACATGTGGGAAGATATCTAGAAGGGAAATATCTGGATCAAGTTAAATTTCTAGTTTTCTCATCTTTTAAGTCTAAAAATAATCATGCTCAAACATAGAGGAAAGAAAAAAAGAAAAGTTTGAGTGCTCTGCTTGAGTTCTCAAGACCTGTTCAGGATAAGAGCAAGTCATCTGTACTTGGTGTTTGTTGACTCTTTAAAACAATTTAAAAGGTGCTAAGTCTACAATTTATATTGCTCTGATTTAATTATTTGAAACTTTATATCTTATATACATTAAATTACCCAAAAAGTGCTTAGTGTAAACACATGGAAGAAGAAAACACTTAAAACATAGTCATATAAAAAGGAGTCCTTTAAGAATTGTTCAGAGATAGAGAATTTCATATGAGAGTGTGGTTGTGTATTTTATGGTTCAACTTGATTGACTGATGAGATGCCTACACATTTGGTAAGATGCTCTGGTATCTGGTATGTCTTTGGACATTATTAATGGTTCCATAGACTACGTAAAATAGATTTCTCTTCTTAATGTGGGTGGTCTTCATTACACAACTTAAAAGATGGAACAAAGTAGAAGGCTGACACCCTTAGAGGCAAGAAAAATTTCTCTTGTCTAACTAACTACAAGACAAAATATCATTCATTCAACAAAACTAGAAAGAAGGATTTTTAGCCTGGTATAATGGCACTTGCCTGTAATTCCAGCACTCCAGGAGGCTGAGGCAGGAGGATCACTGAGAGCTGGAGACCAGCCTGGGCTACACAGTAAGTTCCAGAGCAGTCTAAACTACACAGTGAGACCCAGTCTCAACCCCACCCCAAAAAAGAGTATTTTTGAGTATTTTTATTTTAATGAAAAAATTAAACATTTAAGGAGCTAAAAATACATGTTTTTTGAACATTACAGAATGTAGACGTGTCAAATGTCACCTGATAGCTAGTTTTAGTGTTTTAAATGATTAATTTTTAAATAAATTTGAATTAGAATTCTTGTCCACACTTCTCTTCTGAGTAAATAAATATAAGAGAGACTTTGAAGGAAATATTTTAGGTTGAAAACACTTATGCTATAGAAATCTCTAAAGATCTATAAAGAAAAGAGAAATTTTTTTTTTCTATCTGTACTGTTCCCAAGAAGCCTAATGTGCTAAATTGAGGAATTGAACAGGTAATTGGATCACGGAGATGCTGTGCTGATTTGCTGTTATGGGGTGGAGCACATTCTAAAAATGTGAATTAAATACCAGCAAAAAGTAACTTAATATTTATTATGCTGTAAATATTTCTATGGTATTTTCATCTGAATTACCTTTAAAACTGCTTGCATTAATGAAAATAGTTAATTGAATATATACAGACATGGTTGAAATTGTATAACTGTTTAAAAAATAAATACCTATTTGTCTCATGGGTAATATCTTAGTCTATTAGGACACTTACAAAGTACAGTAAATTAGGTTGGTTATAAATGTCAAATTAATTAACAATCAGAAAGAAATTTCAAAATATAATGATATTTCTTGATAGCAAAGCATGGCACTAACAATATGCATGCCATAGTTAACAATATGCAAAGTTACAGAGTTTGATGCCAAGGTAATCTTTAAAAGGAGAAATGTAAATGAGCTACTTGGATATAAAGTTCCCTGGTCTTTCAGACATGAGGCAGGAGTTGGCCTCAACTCATCGATGAACATGGGCAAGTTTTCTGTCAAGAGCATCTTGTCCAAAATCTTATAGTCTTTCTTACAGGATGCTAAAGACAAACTCTGCTACAGAAATCTGTGTGTAATGGTAGCAGTGTAAAGTATGGGATGTATGCAGAACACAATGGATTTTCTTATTGGCCTTTATAACACTTTAAGAAAGTCCATATCTCAGACAAGTAAGCAAATGTTTTCTCCCTTCATAATTTACTGGCTCTAATTTCACCTGAGTCTAATATGAAATCTTTCATCTTGATACCAGCACCTGCTACATGAGAAATAGAAATGTATTCTCACATTTTTGGTTTAAGGAGTTGAAATCAACACACCTGAATTCTTGATGTCTCTCATGAGCCCATTTCCTGACTGAGATAAAGCACCTTCTCTCTGTAGCCTCAGATGGATGAAGGAGTGAGAGAGCTCCTTGTGGTCTTTTTGGGGGACACTAATTCCATTTACAGGGTCTCTGCTGTCAAAGTCCTAGTCATTGCTCAAAAGACACACCAACCACTTAAAGCCATCCTGTATGAGTCAAGATATTAACATATAAATTTCAAAAGAATTTATCAGTCTCTTTCAAGAGAAATTAGCAATAAGATAATGTTTTACAATTGTTGAAAAATTAATATCAGTTTTACACATACAGTAAAGCACTGTCTTCACACTTAAAATTAAGCAAAAAATGATGACCATAATATAGAAAGTTTTGTCCTACTATTATAGGGACTTGGGTCTTGAGCTATGAGCGCTGTTGAAAGTGAAAGAATATGAAGTGAAGTGGAAATAGAGACGACCAGAGAGAAAACTGAGACTTTCAAATTTTGAATATGGAAAGTAATTCCTCATGTTTGTTATGACTCTAAAATGGTAAAAATCATTTTCATTCCAGTTATAAAATTTATTCAAAATGCTTATGACATTGCTTTCACAAGTGAACCCTTATTTGAGCCCACTAGAGTCACAGAAAGTGTTTAAGAAATATAGAAGAAAAGAAAAGAACCTTCAAATTTTCTGCTGTAAAAGGCTTATTCTGTCAGCAGAGTGTGTAATTCATGTACTTTGAGTGAACAGACACTGGAGACAGGAAAATTGGTAAGGACGCAAACCAAACAATTTGGGAAAAAAGAATGAGCTCCAAATTAAGGAACCAGAGTTGAAAAAGGAAGAATGTAAGTAAAAATCTTATTATGTTAAATTACTAGGATCTGCAATTAATTGACTATGAAAATTTAAAGAAAATATATCTGAAGCTTCCTCTCATGGAAGACATGGTTGCCTGTCAACATAAAGAATGACTTGACTTAGAAATAAGGTAAAATCAATTAAGTAATGTTAATTCTTAAATTATTGAAAGTATTCAAATATAAGCATTCTCCAATCACTGGAGAAAGAAATATAGCTGTGGATCTCAGGTTGGTTGCATATTTTAAATATCTCACCTAGAAAATAAATTGTTTTAGAATAAAATGTCAGAGGAAAATGTATGGAAAAGATGGAAAACAGAAAAAGGACCAAAGAGGAATTTGCAGAAATCTACATTAGAAAGACTAACAGAAAAATAGGAATCAGCAGAGAGAAGAGGCAATGAAGGAGTCCTAGGAACACTTCAGCTATGTTTGAATCTTCTGCTAATACCTACCTCTCAGAAGAAAAATGAAGACCTACAAAGACAGAGGCTTGAACCTATCAGGCATCCTGATTGCATCCCTCAGAAAATAATTTATGGATTTAAAGGGAAAATCAGAAATTCATAGAAAGGGCAAGGTTCATGAATATATGGTGTTCAATAACAGAACCCAAAGACAAGTGCTCATGTGGTGACCAACGCAACATTCTGCCACTACCATGACTTTTCCCTTGACCCTCATACCTTTAATTCTCACATTTGAAAACATCAGACGCATTCTGGTGGCCCATCTTTCTCTCACAAGCTGCCCACACAACTGTGTTCAAACCTGGATAATTTGATCCCTGTGTTTGGGAATAGAGCACTGCCTCCCTAATTACTGCACTGCAATGGGCAATTGCGCAAAGGAGATGGCGGAAGCAACGTGTAGG